CAGTTAAATAATTGTTTCTTTTTGAGAGGGAAATGAGACTAGAACTACAATATACGCACCTTAAGGAACAGAAAGTCAGATCGCAAGATAAACAGTATTAACTAGGGGGCAAAGTGCTCTTTCGGGTATAGACTGAGCCTGGACTGAGTGCACAACCTTTGGAATCCATAGATGCCTCCGCCTGGGTATGTGATTAGTGAGCATTGACCTCAGGATATCACCTGGACAGCCTGAGCCCTGACTGAAACTTACCCAGTGAACCTGATTTTAAGCACCCTCGTATCAGCGGTGGCAATTGACATTTGAAGGGAGGAAAACCTGGTAGAGGAAATATGGTACGTATACAGTGACAACGCATTAATCTTAACACCTTTGGAGACCCACAGATCACACCGCCCGTATATCAAGGCTCTACCGCTTACCAAACCGCTCCTCAGGTGTTGATTTAAGGCGCCCGAAACCTCTCAAGCATCCGTTGGAAATCTGTTTTAAGTTCTCAGGGCAATAGTCTATCAGAAAGGTAATTTTTGGCGTAGCAAGCATGCTATAATAACTACCTGGCTAATCTTGGGCGGATATTTCGACCGGCATAATATTATGTAATTATGTGGTATGGGGCCAAGGGTGTTAAGATTAATGCGTTGTCACTGTAGCTACCTAGGTAGGTATGTATTATGTATTATGTATTTGTAGATGTCAAACCAAAAAGAAAAAACAAAGCCCCTTTTGAGGAGACAGATGGAAGAGCCCAGTTCACTGTACATATAGACTCTCTCGATAAGTGTGTGTACCCAACACATAAAATCTCAACCTTAGTTAAGACAAGGCTCGCATGCAATATACACCGGGTATCGAGCAAAAATCAATAGCTATTCATCGCAACAGATCGTAATTTTGCATCCGCTCTGGACGGCTTGCTCAGAGTATATACCGCAGTCGACGGGTAGCCTCAGCCGCCACGAGAGCGCTTATTGCCCCGATAAAGAGACAGATAGAGATGGCGTTATACCTATCCTTGTCGAGGTTCATCCACTGTGTATCTGAATTGTTGTCCGAGGCAGACTTCGCGCCCGGTTCGAGGATGCTGAAGACAATCCAGCTGATGAAGGTGCCGACAAATTGGGGCAGGGTCGTGTACACATTCAGCACCCCCAGGTAGATACCGGCCAGTTCACCTGTTGACGGGATGTTGGATGCGTGTTCCTCCTCGTCGGTGTCGCTGTCGGTAGAATCGTGGTGGTTCAGCCGGAGGACATCCAGCTCAGTGTCAGCGGCGGAATTGCGCAGACTGGCTGAGGTGATCATTGTCACGCCGGATCGTGAGGATGGTATTGCGGGGTAATAGCCGCCCATTGTTAGTTTGTTGATCTCCACGCCCATAAAGGCGAATGGAGCCCAGCCGCTGATTGCCCAGGGAATACCGCATACTGCTACTAGGAATGTTGCGAAGGCGCGGGAGTGTGCTAACGGGGCGAAGATCATTGTCGCGGCAAACATGATGTGAGAGATCAGCCAGGCGGTTTGGAGATCGGGTCGAATTGCGGTGATGGCTTTGAGAACCGCTGCGACCTTTGGTGGTGGTCGTGCGGTGAATCGTGTCCTCTTTGTATCTGGCTGCATGATACAAAAGGGTAGGAGTACAGAGCTGAGGACTGTGATAAACGAGAAGACCGTTAATGAAAGACTGCCCACGCGGCCGACTTCGCCAAGCATATCCGTTGCTTTGGCCATATCGTCTTTTGGTACTTCGTAACGGAAGTAGGTTTCGCCAACCCAGGTTGTGCTGTAGAAGAGAAAGGGGAACCAGCCTACTTAGTGTTAGTATTGTTGATTTCCCAGTAGGTGCGGAATTTCCCATACCAATCCAAGCCCAAAACTGGGCCCAGCAAATTGCTTGGATGCGAGGCGGCAGCTCAAAAGTAGTTTTGAACAGTTGAGAGAGGACTTGAATAGCACCAGCACTTCCGTCGTCCCTTTTATCAGAAAAGATTAGTTGATGGCAATAAGTATCTGTTCGAGTACACCCACCTTGCAGATATAAGGACTCGCTCTTTCACCGAGTATGAGGTGACAGCCACAGCTAACATCAATGACAAAGCAGCGATCACTGTCATCTGCTTGAACTGCGTATCTCCAAGGAAAGTACCAAAGATGCTAACGGTATCGATGGCACCAACCACATAAGCAAAGAGCTGGCCAATGGCAGACATTCTTCCGGCTACAAAGAAGGTCAGTGTGTTTTAGGCGGAGACAGATGGGGAAGCGCCATACCCCATGCGGATCCAGCTTGTTGGGACGGAATCGGTAGTGTATCCACAATCAGACCGCGACAGCATGCTTGGACTAAGACATTGTAAGCCACTTCAATTAAGGTACGGGCAAGTCTGCCACTTACCAACGTTGATGGAGAAATCCACCGCATAAATACTCAACACAGCCAGGGCAATAGTGCCATTCTTGGCCTGTAGAAAATCAATATTAGCTTCCACATAACCACAGACCTAGCCAGGCAAGTGTCCCAATAAACGGGATATGTACCTTTTCGGGGTCTTTAACAAATAAACCAACAATCTCTGCCGTCCACCCCAAGACAAGCAGACAGAAAGCGACAACTAACGACCCGAAGACCATGAAAGGTCTACGCCGACCCCATTTCGATCGTGATCGATCAGCAATGACTCCAATAAGAGGCTGGATAATCAACCCAGACAACGGCCCAGCGATCCATACCAACGAAGTCTTTGATTTGGTCAGACCAAGTTGAAGAAGGTAAGGTGTACAATCTAACAGCAAAGAAAAGAAATCCAAGTCAGCGAATATTACCCCTGAGTGCCAATGGAGACCATTTGGAATGTTGATAGATCTTACAAGTCATCTCAGTACCCCACGTGAACCTATCCTCAAGGAAAACTCCGAGTTAGCCACAGACAACACAACAATCCCTTGGAACCCTCAAATTGCCCCCAAACAAAAAAGAAGGTAGACAAATATCGCAGCGTCTAACCCTATACCCAAGCGACCGAACAGAGGGGGTTGATACGCACTGCAATCCCACCAAACTAAACGTCAAAAGCGCCATCCTGGTGGACTCATTCCGGCCCTTGATGGAGGGCGTCCCCGCCCACCTTGCAGCCTGCGGCATCCTAATTATCCACGAGCTAGCACGCACTCAGTTTTCTGCGCTCATGAACACAAACCAAAACCGGAGGGCGCCGGTGGCCTAGCCAGTGACCGATTCAAGTTGAAAGCGCCTGTCCGGAAGAGACGCGCAATTCAGACTCGGATAACAGGGTGTGCGGTTTAGCAGGGTCGGGGACGCGTTCCGGGGATTGAGAAAGGGGCCGGTAGGTGTCTATCCTTTCGGGGAATTGAGTCGCGTGCTCTTTCGGAGGCGTCGGGGGAGCTCGCGGGGGCCGAAACTGCACGGTACGCTCGGCGTTTGTCGCTTGTTGACGGCGCGGATTGCGGGGAGGGTGCGTGGGTTGGGACGGAAGTGTCAGGGAGTGTCCATACGATTGTCCCAAGGCGTCTATGTGAATTCTAAGAGGAACGACGTTGTCACAGTCGAAGAAGAAGGAGAGAAATCCGCATTGGCCTGAGCGCCTCTATGCGGGCCCCCGGCCTTATCGATTTATTTAATTTAAAAGACCCGCCAGCCCTGGAACCCTTCTGCCGATCCGGCTTCGCTTACAACAGCTAGGGTCGGCTATGTTGGGGCTTTTATTTGTCTGTGTACGGGTTTAGTTTTCTTCTCTAAATGCATTAGGTTTCTAGCGCTCGAGGTATGTCGTTTGCAGCCGGGCAGGAAGCTCCTTATGTCAGCCTCTCGTGACGGACCCTTTTGCGCTGATTGGCCACGGGTGATGACGTAATTCAGGGCCTTGACCAGGCGTGCGCCAATTATAGAAATACAGGGGAATTGTTGACACGTGATATCAGAGGGAATGTACGTGCACTCGGCAAAGGAGTTCTAGAGGGGCTCTGATTCGATATCAAACCTTGTCTGATTAAGAAAGTACATGTACTTTTGCTCACCAAATATTGTCCAGCCAAAAAAAGAAAAAAGAAAAGGAACAGAGGCGAATGACTACTGATTTCAAATGTTTATAGCAACTCCCAAGAAAAAAGGATAAAGGGAAAACATCCACCACAAAGCCGAACAAAATAAGGGCGTAAATATCTTTCATTGCATGTGTCGCATCCAATCCTAATTTGAATTGGTCTCGAAAACCTACGTATCACAATATGACGCGACTCCTGCCAGCCGGCCAAACAACCAACCAGAGTCAGAAAATAGAGATTTTAATTCCTTTGCATCCCGAATCCGCTTCCCATAATCATCGTAAACAGCTATACTCCGAGGACCTACAGCCGGTTGGGGGCCGAGGTAGTGACTGGCCACTGGTAGCCAGCGGCGTCGCTGAACTTGTAGCCGTATGAAGCAGTGAAGTCATCAAGAACGGCGGGTCCACGGGAGCCTAGATCAATGCAAATTAGCTATGTGTCATGGTTGGAAAAGAAAGGGAAAAAAAGCGGGTAAACTCACCGTAGGGGTACTCCATGGGGATGATCTCCTTGTTGTCATCCAAGTAGTGCAGGAGGGGAGTGAAGATGCGCCAGCTGGCATCCAACTCGTCGTCACGGACGAAGTTGGAGTGGTCGCCCTTGAAGGCATCCAAAATCAGGGACTCGTAGGCCTCGGGGATCTTAAGGTCGGAGAAGCGACGGCGGTAGGTCAAGTCCAGCTCGGTGACCACCGTCTGCATGGAGAGACCGGGCAGCTTAGAGTTCATCTTGATATAGACGGACTCGTTGGGCTGAACACGGATGACAAGCTCGTTACGGGGAATGTCCTTGAAGATACCGGAAGTGACATCCTTAAACTGGATGCGAACCTCAGTCTTCTGCTCGTTCAGGGCCTTTCCGGCCTTGAGAATGAAGGGAACGCCGTCCCAACGCTCGTTCTTAATGTATGCAACCATCGCGCAGAAAGTCGGGCAACGCGAGTCCTTGGGCACAGTATCGTCCTCCATGTAGCCGGGCTTGCTGCCGTCGAGGGAGCGGCCGTACTGGCCGATGATGACATTCTTGGGCTCAATAGCATCCATAGCGCGGAGGACACGGACCTTCTCATCACGGATGTCCTCGGAAGAGAAGGAAATGGGGCGCTCCATGGCGAGCAATGTGAGAACCTGCAGAAGGTCTATGAAATTGTTAGCATATCTTCCACATCTAGTCGGTGCCATTGAATGTACTTACGGTTCTGCATAACATCACGGATAATACCGAATTCATCGAAGTACCCACCACGGCCCTCAGTGCCGAAAGGCTCCTTGAATGTAATCTGCAGCCGATATTAGGACCCGAATTCCGTAAGGATCGCTTCATCACATACCTGGACGTTATCGATGTGACGACGGTTCCATGTGGCGTTGAAGAACTCGTTGCCGAATCGCAGAATTAGGATGTTCTTGACCATCTCCTTACCAAGGTAGTGATCGATACGGAAGATCTCCTCCTCCTTCCAGTTGGGCTCCAAAGCCTTCTGGAGGTCGCGCGAGCTCTGTAGGTCCTTACCGAAGGGTTTCTCGACCTATCAAAAAGAATAGGTGTATCAATATGCAGTTCGTTTTGAGCCAAACTGTCCAGAGAAACTTACGATAATGCGAGCAAGACCACTCTTGGGGTAGCAGTTGCGCTTCAGCTGGTCGGAGACAGTGGTGAAGACACTGGGCGGCAGTGCCATGTAGAAGACGCGGTTTTGTTCCTTCGATTGGCGGTTGTTTTCGATCTCCTCAAGGTGCCTGTTCAGGTTGATGAACGAATCATCTTGATCATATTGGCCGGAAACGTAGGTGCACATCTTGCAGAACTGTTCTAATTGATCTTCAACCTCCTTTGTGGGAACCTTGATGTACGAGCGAACGCGCTTGAGGTATTCGTCGGCGTCCATCTTTGTCCGCGCATATCCGACGATCCGAATGTCCTTGGGAAGGAATTTGTTGCGGAACTATGCGAAAATTGTGAGTGATGAGAATTAGAATTGTTAGTTGGAATATCACATACAAGGCCAAACAGCGCAGGGAACTATAAAATTGGTTAGTACGTCAAGAGCCATCACATTCTGGAGGGGTACGAACGGTCTTCTTCTTCGCCAGATCACCAGATGCGCCTAGTACCACGATGATGGTGTCATCCTTAAGTTCGACGGTGCTGAATGCAAACTCCATTGTTAGTGCTGCGTTTAATTGACCGATATAGAATTTTGTCATTTAACGCGGCAATTGAGGGGTTGAGCCGGGGAGCTCTGTTGAGCAGAGAAAGTCTGCGAAGGCGTTCAAGGAAGAGATTGACTATTATCGGGATGAAGGCAATAACGTCCAAAATAGCACAATATTGGGGATAAGTTGAGGTTGAATTGAGCTGGAGGCAACAGGTGGGCTTCCGCAACCGGGGGGTAAGGGAGTGATGTCAGAGACGCAGGAGGGGGACTCACCCAGCATTCTGAAGGTCATCGCTCTGGTTGATCACACTAGACATCTTGCAACAACCGCTTAATACGCGAAATGAAGAAGAAAGGTTGAGCGAGTTTGGAAAATAAAAAGAAGAGGATTGTTGAAGAACACCAACAGGATCCGGCGGAGTACTTTTTTAACGGAAGTCACTCACAGCTTCGGCTGGTGGGGCTATCGCTGGGTATTGTATGTATTTTATGACTTCAGGGTATTAATCACTTTTTTTTTGATAAATTGTTTTTTCTATCTTTTTTTTATTTTTTTAACTTATATTCTAATAATACCTTGTTTCTCTTCTTTGATGCATACTGCTATTTAATGCCGGCCTTGGGACCTGCTCCTGGCCTCGTGGCAAATCCCGGTCAACTTTCTTATATTAAGTATTCTTAAGTCCGACGTTCATAATCACATATTGTCATTGACCCTGGACTTGGGGCCACTCTTAAGATCCCACGGGAATCTTACCCGTTTTGATTATCAACGACCCCGCGCAGGCTACCATGGCTATCAGCGCTGCTCATAAGTGTCCGATTCGGGCTCGGGGTGGTACAAAGTACATCGGATCAATTGTCAATAGTGTCAGGCGTGAGCATGTCGCTTATTCTTGTTCTAAGAACAGATCCCTTCCAGAGAAAAGAAAGTAGGGGTCATCTGATAAGAGATGCGGTTCACTTATAGGTGTGGATGACACTGCGCAAACAGGCTAAATTCGATTATAGAGCGGTACGTGTCCCTAAGAACATCCAGTATTGTTCCCGTTCATATCGTACGTTCATGTTGTATAGTGAATACTGGTGGATGCACTATGGACGAATTTGCGGTCAGCTGTACTCCGTATAGTATGCACATGTATCCGCGGAGCATTGGAATGACAAGCCATCGCATCGAGGGGAAGGTTACTCCGTACAGTGTGTCCACTAAAATCTCCTAAGAGAGCGTATCAATTAAAGTACCGAACCTGCAAGAACAGGTACAATACCATGGACCTCGAGCACGCAAGCCGATAAGAACTTCTACCGGTGACCCAAATCGTGGGGATGGATCGGCACATTTGTCATTTTGTCCCAGACGGATTCTATTTTCCCGCGAGAGGCCACCTTCTTAAGTCCGGTTTGAGACTTGTATTAAACCAAACTGCGATTCGAGGGGGTCCGAATCCGGAGCTTACATATTAACCGTTGAGTGCTACCTACATATGTAGGTACAAGGTACTTGGGGGCTATACTACATGTACGTACACTATACGACCCTATCTATACTATGTACTCTACGCTCGTTCCTGAGGTCTCTCGTACGAGTCCGCTTGAGGATTGCCCCAAGTTTTAATGAATACATATGTACATAACCGGTCTCAAATGTAATAATCAGTTATCCCGACAGGCAGGATGTGGGGCAGGATACAGGAACTTCTAGATTTCCCAATAAGTGGTCTCGGTCTGAAGTATATGCGATGATGCACCGAAATTCTACCCGGATCATGTCACTGTCAATGGTTATCCTTTCATATTGACAATTGTTTCTGTCTTCTCAAGAAAGCTGTCTAGGATTGAAAACAATTATTCACTCCCTACTCCGTAGGCCTGCCGGCAATAGCCTTTGCACATTGCTTTTTATTGACTGAACTTCAGAAGGCTGGAACCCTGTCGTCATGGCTTAGGTTTGTCAGAAACCTGCAGGCTTGGACGTGCCGGTCGGACTACTGTAGCCCGAGTGGCAGAAAAAGTAAAGTAGGGCGGTAAATGATCGGTAAATGACCTCCAGGGCTCGGATCGGAGAAACAAGAGCTTATCTCATCTCAGATTCTGCCTATCTAATCGCTGATGTAAGGTAGGGCGGTGTAACTATCACGGGATCTCGCTTAGCCCTGATATATCACGTGGACTGTAGCTCGCTAAGATCCCGTTTAGGCTAGGGCGAAAACCAACACACGGCTGCCCAAATTGATTGTGCGCCTGACTATCGAAGCGACGACAACCACGACAAACGGGAACGACTTTTGATCTTGCGGGTCATTCCTTCGACTTTCTTTCCTTGCCCGCTCCCCAGAGAAACGCCGACACAATGCCTTCGGAACAAGGACACCGCCGTGAGTGAATCCCTCGAATGTCTTATCGATCGTCGTTTTTGGCGGTCTCGAAATCGCGAAGCCGCGTCTCGAGCAGGCACCTTGTGTGGTCGCACACTGGATAAAGGACATGTGCTAACTATTTCTTCTTTCCTAGTCTACGTCAAGTAAGTTACCACCGCACTTTCATCGTTGCACTTAAAGATATGCCAATTCGACATGGAGGACCGATTTGGGGGACACAAGACATCGCCACTCAAATCAAACCGAAACACGATATGGACAGGTCATTAATACGAATTTCTTTCCACAGGGGACGTCACCTGAGCTTCCAGCGCAGCAAGCACGCCCTCACCCAAAACACCAGGTATCTACACCCTGCGCACATGAAATTGAATACTCGATGAATGGAATCTGATATATGGTTATACAGCTTGGTCAAGATTGAGGGTGTTGATGACACCAAGTCCGCCAACTTCTACCTCGGCAAGAAGGTCGCTTTCGTTTACCGTGCTAAGCGTGAGGTCCGCGGCTCCAACATTCGGGTGATCTGGGGCAAGGTCACCCGGCCGCACGGTACGTGAATGCAACAACCAGTCTGGAGGCCATATCCGAATGGTCCTCCTAGGTCTGGGAACCTCGAACTCGAAATTCATTTATCTGACTCGTTCCAGGCAACTCCGGTGTTGTGCGCGCCAAGTTCCGCCACAACCTCCCCCCCAAGTCCCTCGGCGCTACCGTCCGCGTTATGCTCTACCCCTCCAACATCTAAACGGATTCTCTGTGTTGTTTTTAGTGGGCGATTCCCTTCTTCGCACAGACGGTCGGTCAGGCAAGGAAAAGTCGACGGAACGAGCCGATGTTGATTTGAGGTGATGGAGTTGGCGGGTTGATAACGTTTTGTTCGTGGGAGAAGGCAGGGCCAACAAAGCCCTACGAATCAAAAAAATTACACTTTCATAGCTGTGTCGGCCCCAAGATACTGGGAACGAGCTCCGTCTCGACATTTCTCCTTGTTCTTACAATTGGCGAGCATGATGTGTCTGGTCGCGCTGCGTCACTTCTCCCATTGTGTATCTGACGCTTAACGCACCAAATTCCATACCATTTCAAATTTCAACAGACCGGTCAATCGATCCGCTTCTTCGTGCGTCTGTCTTCCGTCTTTTGTCTAAGAAGAAATTGTATTTCCCTGCTCTGGCTCCAATCTACCATGGCTTGCTTGTTCTGCGAACCTAAATTATACTCCCATGGCAACAGCAAGATAAACAGACCTCGGCCGTAACTAGCAATAGCTATAGCTCTAGCCTAGCACCCATAGACTCTGAGCGGCCTCATTCGGCCTGATTCCCCAGGTCGTGGTGTGGGTCCGCACCCCCCCCCCCCCCC